AACTCTCATTTTCGGGCTCTAAACCCCCTCTCTAGAGCAGAAAACCTATTTTTTTTTGTGTCCTCAGACCTCATTTTCACATCCCAAATCTTCATTTTTATGCCCCAAACCCTCATTTTTATGCCCCAACCTCATTTTTACATCCTCAAACCGAACCTTTAGGTCCCAAATCTTCACTTTTGGAGCCCAAAGCTCTGATTCTGTGGTTGAAAACTTCATTTTTTGTGGCACAAACCTTCATTTCTAACTTCCAAATGCCCTTTTTGAGGTCTAAAGCTTCATCTTAATGCCCAAAACCTCATTTTTTAAACCAGATCCCACTTTTGGGGTGTCCATAGGATCCCGGGTTTGGGGTGTCAGTGGGATCACAGATCCCGGGTTTGGGGATCACAGATCCCGGGTTTGGGGTCCCAGATCCCAAGTTTGGGGTCCCAGATCCCGGATTTGGGGTCTCAGATCCCGGGTTTGGGATCCCGGATTTGGGGGTTCCAGATCCCGGGTTTGGAATCTCGGATCCCGAGTTTGGGGGTCCCAGATCCCAGGTTTGGGGGTCTCAGATCCCGGGTTTGGGGTCCCAGATCCCGGGTTTGGGGTCCCAGATCCCAGTTTTGGGGTCCCAGATCCCAGTTTTGGGGGTCCCAGATCCCAGTTTTGGGGTCCCAGATCCCAGTTTTGGGGTCCTGGATCCCGGATTTGGGGTCTCAGATCCCGGGTTTGGGGTGTCCGTGGGATCCTGGGTTTGGGGTCTCAGTAGGGTCTCAGATCCCGGGTTTGGGGTCTCAGATCCTGGGTTTGGGGTCCCGGATCCCGGGTTTGGGGTCCCGGATCCCGGGTTTGGGGTGTCCGTGGGATCCTGGTTTGGGGTCTCAGTAGGGTCTCAGATCCCAGTTTTGGGGGTCCCAGATCCCAGTTTTGGGGTCCCAGATCCCAGTTTTGGGGGTCCCACACCCACGGCCCCCGTGTCCCGCAGCGCTCCTGGTGCAGGGCCAGTACAGCCGCTTCGAGGGCATCACGTACCCCGAGCCAGTCCAGTACTCCCAGTACGACCAGCAGGCCGGTGAGAGCCGGGACAGCCCTGTCCCCATCCCCTCTGCTTTCCCTGGAAAACACCCTGGGAAAAACTCCTCCCTCTTCTTCCTCTCCATCCTCACCTCTGCAACCCCCAAACTTCCGTCTCTGCTCTCACTGGCAATTCTTTATTAAACCCTTATCAAATTCTTTATTAAAAACTATTTATCCGATTATTTCTTAAACCCTTACCCAATTATTTCTTAAACCCTTATCAAATTCTTTATTAAACCCTTATCAAATTCTTTATTAAACCTTTATCAAATTCTTTATTAAACCCTTATCAAATTCTTTAAAAAACCTTTATCCAAATTCTTTATTAAACCTTTATCAAATTCTTTATTAAACCTTTATCAAATTCTTTATTAACCCTTAATTTTTTTAAAAAAATTTTATTAAAACTTAATTAATCGGGGTACCTATTAAAAGCCTTTTATCCAGTTATTTTTTTGAACCTTTATCCATCCCAAATCCCCACCCTGTGGGAAGCGGCCCTGGAGTGCCTGGGGGGGTTTTCCCGACCCACCACAGAATTCCAGGGATCTCATTTCCCGCTCCCCACGGGATGAGTTTTCTCCCTAAACCCATCCTGAGGCAGTTTCCTGTTTTATCCCCAGAAATTCAGGATTACTACGATTACCACGGTGAGTGTTTCCCCCCCGGGACCCCGGCGGGGGGATCGGGGTTTGGGGGTGTCCCTGCACCGGCTCTGTCCTTGCAGATGTCACCCCCCGAGTCCCGGAGGAGCAATTCCGGTACCAATCCCAGCAGCAATCCCAGCAGGAAACCGTGCCGGCCCCGACCCCAGGTGGGTGACAGTCCCCAGGTGGGTGACAGTCCCCAGGTGGGTGGGTGACAGTCCCCAGGGGTGGGTGACAGTCCCGGGGGTGGGTGACAGTCCCCAGGTGGGTGACAGTCCCCAGGGTGGGTGACAGTCCCCAGGTGGGTGACAGTCCCCAGGGGTGGGTGACAGTCCCGGGGGTGGGTGACA